CTCCTCGCCCAACACGAGTGGCCGCGACGTCACCTCGTCCCGCGGATCGCGCTCCTGCCTCCGCCTGCCTAAATCAAGTACCCTCAACCGAGTACACACAACGAAGAAAGTCCGACAATTTTATTTAGCATAGTTTTATCTATTGTAATAGACGACCCACTTCAACAACAACAACAAACAACACAAAACGTTTGCACAAAGCAGTGCAGCCATAGTGCACTCGACTCGAATGTCGGTGAATTCGTCAAACAAGCGCCAGCTGAACAAGCGCCAGTGTCCGTGCACTGCAGCAAACTGGCGGATGGTAAATCGGTGGTAACCGCTTGTTCCTACACATATGGTATGCCATCACCACGTTGCGACACCATACAGCAGACCACGCAGCAGCCACCACCAATTTATGGCTGCCGCGTACTCCAACTAAAAACGAGTGTTTAATGGCGCTTCTAAAATATGTCAACACAGACCATCTTTTCTTGGCGATGGATCCAGAAACGGGTATTTTGTGCGATGCATCATCTTTCTCGCACGGGGACAAGTCGAATCATCATACCGGTACTGTAAGCTTAGCTCACTCTCGCGGCAGTCGTCGTCGGTGTGTCGTGTCCATGATGCCAGCATGCAGATACAGATACATCGCCGTGGCCAACGTCGTTTTTAAACCCGTTCGATGCCACCTCGGCACTTGTTTAGCTGAAGCCTTTCTCATTTTCAGCGTGCCGTTGGCATCTAAAAACCCTGTCGGCGACATCGCTTAGAAATATCTATCCGGATGCGGCGTAAATATACGACCTCGAGTAGGATTCACGCAAGCGGGAAGGCCAAGCACGAAGGCGCGAAGACCAAGAGGTGCGCAAACCAGCGTCCAAGTCGTGGTACCGCAATCATCATCATTCTTTTCCTCGAGTGTTTGTTGGCGGTGTGTACGACCGGGAAGTACGACCGATGCATTCCAGCTGGGTGCTCGTTTTTATTGAAGTCAAACAGGCACCACAGAAAACGAAATGAAACGATCGACCGTGTTGTCTTCACTTGCCCGTGACAGGGATGTTTAAGCCGCGCGCGAGACGCTGGTCCTTGTGGCCACGTCCACATCGACCGTCCATTGCCGGGCTGATAACACGAGTTGACGACGATCACGTCCGTCCTAGGCAACCGCTCGGCCGGCGTCATAGAATTTTCCATCTGATTTCGCCCCAACTACGATCTGAGAACGGTTTACGATTCTTGATGTGCGGACACTGGTCGCTGAGGCCGTGAGCTCCCTTCGAGAACAGCTGCCGCATGGTTTTGTTGGGCGCTGGATCTCTGCACCTTTCTACACAGAGCTTGTTGAATCGTTTTTTACGGCCGAATTTTCAAAACGTCTTCGATGCGGTCCTCACCGTTGCTGAGAAGTACCTACAATGTAGCTTGGTGCTTGAATGAAACGCTGCGATCTACGCTTGCGTCAACTCCACTGCTGGAGCTATGTGAGTGTATTGTACCAACTCAAGTAGCAACACGACGCTAACGATCGACGCGACTGGTTCGCCGAGGAGGAGCGTGTTAATTCCAAGTCATCCAAGTCATCCAAGCCATCTGAGAACCTGATGGCGGGCTTAGTCAATCGATCGCGGTTTTTCGCAGCCTCCACGTCCCTTGGAGTGCAACGCCAGCTCCCAAGCTCATTTGAGGGACAAGGCAAGCACTCCTGCAATGATGTGCAGCGTGCGCTTGTTGCAGCGCTGCGGTTGCTAGTGCTGTCGAGAGCTCCATTCAGAGCAATGCTTCTTCGCGCTCCTCTAACGGCAAATTCATCAATGCAACGTGGCGGTCGTAACACCTTACCGTACAATTTGGACAGCACGCTTCAAGTGGATAACATGGTATACACAACAAGAACAGAAGCGGACTTATGGTCATTTGTAAGCACTGCCGCGGAACGATCGTGTCTACACAAGGCTAGAGGGAGCGGTAACCAGCTAGGACATGGCGCCAAAACGGCGCAGCTTCGAGTGATGCACAGCGTACGTAGCTCACAGGTATACATCGGCAACTTGATGGCCTAGCCGTCCCACGGCGCAAGTAGCTGCAGAGGAGCCCAGCCGTGCGTGCTTCGCCGCCACAGACGCGCCTTTCTTGAAGCTTCAACTTTGCGCCCGTCACCAATCTGATCAGCCTCACGCCGTATTTTATTGATGGCGTTATGATACGCATACCATTACCAAGTCATTTAATTCTATAGGTCCGTGGGTCGCAACTTCGATCTTCGGCTGGCCGACCAGATGGCCCAGGTGGGTGAGGCGCTTCCCAGCCGCGAGATCTGGTTGCCGTTGGAGCCCAGTCCTCATTTCTGGTTTTGCAGCCTCGTTCGCAAGTCAAAAACCATGGGCGAAGTGACGACGCCGACAACGGGCGCGTACGCCTCGGTCTGGGACTCCCGCCCCGTCAAGTACTCGAGCGTCCTCTTCCAAGTGTGCGGCTTCATCTTGATGATGGAGCTCGCCGAGCGTCTCTCGTACTACGGTATCAACCAAGGTCTCCGTAACTTTATGAAGACTGTCCTTGGCTGGACCGGTGTCTCGGCCAGCTCGATCAAGAGCACGTGGACGTCGCTCTGCTATCTCTCGCCGCTTCTCGGTGCCTACCTTGCCGACGAGCGCTGGGGCCGCTTCAAGACGATCGCGATCTTTGGCACGGTCTACTTCATCGGCGACGTCTTGATCTCGATCGCTGCGCATCCCAAGGTGCTGGGGTGGGAGGAGACCAGCGAGGCTGGCGTTTTCAACCGCGAGGGCGCCGACACCAAGACGGCCGAAGGCCTCTTCGTGTTTGCCCTCTTTGCCTGCATTGGCATTGGCACTGGCGCGATCAAGTCGAACGTCATTACGCTCGGCGCCGACCAGTTCAACCCGCACGACCCGAAGGAGGAGGCCCAGAAGGTCACGTTTTTTTCGTACTTTTACTGGTGCATCAACTTTGGCGCCGCCTTTGCGTACGGCTACCTCGCGACCTTGTGCGTGAAGGGCTCGTCGGCCATCTCCAAGGACTATGGGTACTTTGCGACGTTCCTCATTTGCGCGTGCGTCATGGGCGTCGCACTGCTCATGCTCTTCGTCGGCAGCAGCCGCTACATCAAGTTCCCGCCCAACTCGGACGCCATGTCCAAGCTCGTGCGTGTGCTTCGTCAAGCGTCGGCGGCGTCGACGAGCGCGCGCATGGCCTGCGTCGGCTTCCTCCTCTTTTTGCTGTCGTGGCTCTTGAACTTGGTGGCGGTCTTCCTCAAGGACGGCTCGACCGAGCGTCTCGGCATGTCGTACGCGGCGGGCGGTGTCGCGTTTGGCGGCTGCGTCTTGTGGGTGCTCGCGGGCATGAACTTTCAGAACATGGAGCGTGCGAGCGCGGCCAACGGCGGCCCCGTCGACGCGACGTCGATCGACGAGATCAAGCTCGTGGTCCGCGTGCTCCCGTTCGCGGCCTTTAACGTCATGTGGCAGTGCGTCTACGACCAGATCGACGCCAACTTTCAGATGATCGCGCAGCAGACGGACCTCCGCTTTGGCAACGAGCGCGACTCGACGCAGCTCCCGGGTGCGGTCCTCGGTGTGTTTGACCCGATCGCGATTGTGATTTTGATCCCGCTCCTCGACGCCGTCATCTACCCGGCGTACAAGAAGCGCTTTGGCAAGGCGGCGTCGCCGTTTGGCAAGGTGTTTGCGGGCCTCGCGATCGCGGCGTTCACCATGTTTTACGTTGGCATCTTTGAGATCGTCCGCAAGAACTCGGGCGAGATCATGCTCCCGGCGAGCGCCACGAACGCGACGCTCGACTTTGTCATTGACGAAGGCGGTGAGCAGCCGATGAACAAGCTGCCGTGGGGCTGGAACATCTTCCACTACGTGCTCGTCGCGCTCTGCGAGTGCCTCATCAACGTGACCGCGTTTGACGTCTTTTACTCGGAAGTCCCGGTCTACCTCAAGTCGACGTGCCAGGCCATCAACCTCTTCATGGTCGCGATGGGCTCGAGCGTCACGTCCATCTTTACGCTCCTCTTCCAGAAGAACATTCCCGACAACCTCAACGAGGGCAAGCTCGAAAACATGTTCTTCACGGTCGGTGCCGTCGCGCTTCTCAACGTCGTCCTCTTCACGCTCGTCATGCGCAAGATGCAGTTTGGCATGCACTCGATCGAAGACAGCCCGCACGCGGCCGGCGAGCTCGGCACGGACAAGGAAGCGCTCATCGACCGGTCGTCCAACCAGATGAACGCCCGCGACTCGTTCACGCAGCAGCGCGCATAGAGCGGTTGACAATTGTATGTATGCGTTGGGCAATAAGCCCAATGCGCGACGAGTGGGTGCATCCGTAATCCATGGTTTCTCTTCTTTTTTACATTTTCGTTGACCAGCAAAGGCAGGACCAAGGGTTAGTCGAGTGGGTCTTGGTACAAGCCGACTCGGATGCGCTCTGACTTGGAGAGAGACGACGACCTGATGGCCATCCGGAGCGAGACGTCGCACAACCGAGAGAAACGTCATCAGTACCAAAGTAGTCAGAAAGTAGGGATCTCACCGGGACTTGAACCCGGATCTACCTGGTGGTAAACCAGTGTCTATACCGCTAGACTAAAAGATGTCGACTAGATTTCAGCCTTCTTGACTGCCTCCCCAATCTCGACGCTCCAGACGCGCACTCCCGCCAAGAGTGGGTGGGAGTAGTGAGAGAGGAGAAGAGAGAGTGTCACATCAAGAAGCCATCTGCCGTCTGTACTGCCCCGTAACAGAGGAGAGTGTAACCAAGTGAGTATGAGAGTGAGGAAGAGTGTGGTACACGCGCATGGGAAAGTGCGTATATTGGGCTCATAACCAGTCAGGAAGTAGGGATCTCACCGGGACTTGAACCCGGATCTACCTGGTGGTAAACCAGTGTCTATACCGCTAGACTAAAAGATGTCGACTAGATTTCAGCCTTCTTGACTAAAGTTGTCGTCGCGACAGTGAGATTGCACTTTCTCGCAACGGGGTGTAGACCGACGGTTTCATCGGCTGTCACGTCAACTTGACGCCATAGCCGTCCATTTTCGCTCCCGTTCATTCCATAACGGTCCTCGCGGCAGCCTCTTTGTTCGACCAACGCAGTCCATGACGCCTGCTGTGCCTATCACGCTTTCTGCGTTCAGCGAAAAGTAGCCGGCCGCCTCGTGCACGGCGTTATTTTTCGAAAGCAAGGCGTTATCCGGAGACAAGCCCTTTGCAAGCGGAGATGCTGGACGACGCGGACCTCGTGCGCGGCGCGGGCTTGCTCGTCATGGCGTTCGGTGCGCTCCTCCTCGTCACGATCGCGCCTCTTTGGTTTGTCTCGTCGGCCGTCGAGGCGAGCGGTGCACACGTTTCGGCGCGCTATGGCCTCCTCGAGCTCTGCACAACTGCGCTGTATCCGAATGCGTCGACGACCAACACGTGCTACCGGCTGCACGCAGCGCTGCTACCGCCGAGCAGTCATCGCGTCTACGCGCCAGGCAGCGTGTGCGCCAGCTTTGGTGCCAACGCATCCGCGGCGACAACAGTCATGGCGCAGATCACCGGTACGATGCTCGGTTCTCGAATCGTGTCGACGACAATTCTCTGAGGTTTCTGAGGACAGGCCTTGGCACGCACGATACGGCGCGGTACTTGACGTGGGAGTGCGACTCGCCCCACTTGCTCTCGGTGCTAGCGCTCCTCGCTCTCCTCGCCCTCACGCTCGTCGGGCTCGTCTGGGTTGTCGCGATCGCCGCGATGCACCAGCCGCTCGGCGCCCACGCCAGCTTTAGCACGCTCTGGCTTCTGCTTTCGATCTGCTACGGCTGGGTCTTTGCCGAGCTTTTCGCGCGTGCGGTTTGGCGTCGTCTGATTGTCGGCGGACTCGACCACTTGAGCTATGGGATGGGGCTACTCTACTTGCTCGTAGCCTACGCTCTGCACGCGCATGGCCTGCCTGTGCTCGCACTGTACCAAAACCGACTCCAGACCCGCCTCGATCTCGGGCTTATCTGCGCCTAACGTGTTTATAAAATGCATATGTCTTCAAACGCTCCGACAAGTTGTGCTTTTTAACAGCCCACTGTACCGACACCATTAATTACGGTGCGGGTTCAAATCCGCAGGCCGTCGCTGCGGTCGCGGCAGCGGCGGTCGCGTTCGCAGCCTCTTTGGCTGCACCCAAGTGCATGTGTGCGGTTGCTAGCTTGGTCTGGAGAAGGTACACAAGCGGATACGCGTCCGGCAGCCCTCGATCGGTCCACTCGGTCAGCAGCTGGGACGCGACGGCGACCACGGTCGTCCAGGCCTGGCGTGCCATGGCATCGTCGAGCTCGGCGAGGAGCTTATCACATGGCGTCAAGGACCCGTCACTCGAGACGATGTCGTTGTCGCTCATGCAGCGGCCGCAGACGCAGTCAAAGCCAAAGGTTGTCGCCAAAAGCTGCTGGCGCGCAGGTCGCGGCTCGAGAAGGCTAAACCCAAAGACATCCAGGTACGAATACGTGAGGAGCGCGCCTACGTGTCATGCATGCGTCGGTTTCTTCCCAAGCCACAGATCTGTACCTGGCGCCATGGACTGCAGCGCTCGGAACTCAAGGGCTCGAGTTGCCATGTTGAAGCGCGGATACGTCGTGGGTCGACACGCATGGTTGATCATCTACAGGGCAGAGGTTGAGTGATTGCCGTCGAGACAATCATACGCACCTTGGCCGCATCTGGGAACAGCCCCAGACCCAATGCCGAGCTATGAAGATCGACGACAATCGGGTGGGCGTTGAAGCGCACGGCGAGAAGCACATCGAGCACGTGCTGAAGTGTCAGCCAGCGCTACAGCAGACATGAGTGTCATGCTGCGCAAGGAAAACGGCGCCTGTACCGGACGGTCCAGCGGCGGCAAGTGCGACAGTAGCAGCTTGGCGTACCGCTCGTAGCGCTGGCGCTCCTTGGAGGGCACAGCGTGGACGACGAGCGTCGAAAGCATTGACGCGTTGTTGGTCGCGAGCTCCATGATGACGCAGCTCAGCGCGAGCCGGACGAGATCGTTGTCGGTTGCCGGCAGCGCCTGCAGTGCTGCGCACTGGGCGTCGTGCAGAAGCAAGTGGTCTTGCATGCAAGTCCGGTCGCAGTAGCGCGCCCGCTCGCAGCTCGCGCACTGCACGGCGCGGCCGCGGAGCGTGGCGAAGCAGGCGTGGCAGTGCGTGAGCACATGCGCTGCCGAGAGCACGGACGCAAACGCCTGTGCCGAGAACGCAATGTCGCTCGCCGCAATGGGCGCTGCCGCCGCCAGGACGCGCCCGACGATGGGCGAGGCGGTCGTGTGCACGATGACGGCCGGCGCGTCGGCGAGAGGCGACGAGTCGAGGACCTTGGCCGCGCGGTGCGAGGGAACCCACGTTGTCGTCGCCTTTGCATGGCCATACGCGACCTTGGTGAGGCCGGCGCCCGCATGCTCTCGCACGACGTCGGCCACGACATGGCTCCAGACCACTTGCATGGCCGTTCTGTGTTTCGCTGCCTGTGATTGGCCCATTCTTGGGTGGTCCACTCCCTATACACAACGTGAGAGGCGTTGCAAATCGGATTCGGCGGTGTCTCGATCGACAAAGTGCAGGTGCCAGGTTGATTCCTACTAGTAGTTGATACGGGACGATGCAGCACGTAGCCTACCGGGTTGTCCGTGCAGCGGTTCACCTCGTCGGCCTTCCGCTGGTACGTGTTGGTGAGCATGACCTGGTCCCCCATCAAGCTCGGTTTGGCGCCGACCTCGGTGATCGCGTCGCCAGGGTGATGATAACGGGTGTGGGGCCGCTCATGGGCTCGTACTATGCTCGGTGTGTGAGTGTGGTCGATCCAATAGTGCAAACCTCCCTACCGCCTGGCATTTTTCAACGGCGGCACCAAGCGCATTGTGAGCGGCATATCTTCCGGAAAGAGCTGGGATTGGCCAGAAATCGGCCATTTTACGGATAAAATACGTGGCACGTGGAGCGAGCCGAGAATCTGCCGTGGCAGTGCGCACGCAACGCTATCGCAAAAAAAAGCGAAATCAACCCTGCACACGCAAAGGTGATGGGGCACTACACGTACGCGCTCTTCATCCTTGCGCACTTGGTCACCCAATCGATGGCCGCATGCGTGAGAAAATCGAATCCAATGAAATTGGCTGGCATTGCGTGTGCACAGAGTGGTGTTTAGAAGGCCCAGCCCATGTTTTCGGGGGCCAAGTCGGGGTAATACACGCGCACGGTATCGAGGAAAAGGCCGTGAAGTAAGACGTAGCCGCGGCTGTTGAGGTGCAGGCCGTCGTAGAAAAGCGAAAGGTCTTTGAATGTTGGCGTGAAGAGATCAATCACCGGCAGGCGCAAGGTTCGCGCCAGTCGGATCGTCGCCTTCGCATACTTGGAAGCCTCGGCATTCGATCGACCGGAGCTCCAACCCGTGCTCTCGTCGACGGCGCTGGCCGTGATGAGAAGAATCTTGCAGTTGGGGAACGCGTCGTTGAAGGACGCAATCATCGTGTGGAGGTTCGTCGAAAACTCATCCAGCGGCACGTGCAGCGCTGCATCCACGCCGTTGATAAGTGAGGCGTCGTTGACACCGAGGTAGATGGAGATGAGCGACGGATGCTTGTGCTCCCAGTCTTTCAGCACGCGTGGAAGCTGGCTCAACCACCACCTACATCTTGCTGAGGCGACGCCACTGCAGTCCATGCGACCTACCGCGTCGTCCGACCCGACATGCCGCGGTTCACCACGTCGGCCTTTCGCTGGTATGTGTGCGTGAGCATGACTTGATACCCCATCAAGCTCGGGTTGGCGCCGAGCTCCGTGATCGAGTCCCCCATCGTTATGATGAGTGGCGTCGGTCCGTTGATGGGCTCGTATTCTAGACACAACGACTAGTTATCGTCATTCAATCTGGCAACGCGACGTACCACCCGGCATGTTTTCAACCGCGGTGACAAGCGCTAGAAGCAGCGCGAGCAGGAAGCTGACCAAACGCATCGAGATAGGGAATTGAATTCTGGCATAGTGCCTCGGATGGTGCGGCCTGTCTTGCACAAGGTCGCGTGGTCTGTAGTGGCGACACGCAAACAGGCGGGCGACATCTGAGCTAAATCAGACTGGTGCGCGCCCATGTCATGTACCTCAGGTGCATTTCGCAGAATCTTTGGCCCCAGGTGCGAGCTTTCTTGATCTTGTTGCGCTCGTCAAACCAGCATTGTAGGTGTAGAGCTGTGGAGGAGGAATGGGTCCTGTCGACGCCAACGTGGGGTATCATCCGGATAATTACGGTGCTTTGCAAGTATCCGGATATAATTGAACCCCATACGTGGCACCGTGAGCGAGCCCAAAATCTGACGTGGCACTCAACCGCGAGCTGCTCCATCACAACACGCTTTCTTGTGCTTTGTCTTGCCTGGCGCCTCTGCAAGTGCTTTTTCAATGTCTCTAACTACCGCGTCGTGCGACCGGAGCGCCGCGGTTGACAACGTCGGCTTTCAGGACTATGCGTTGGTGAGCACGACCTGATACCCCATCAGGCTCAGCTCTGTGATCGCGTCGCCCAAGGCTATGAACAGTGGCGTCGTGCCGCTTATGGGCTCGTTCATTGACTGGCACTCTAGAGCCAGTTATTCAACTTTTCGATCAAGGATCGTCGTGTAGAGTGCGGGGCGGTACGGCGTAGATGACAGCGATAGACACCAAGTGCAGCAGCACGAGCAAGCACGACCAGGAGTGTGTGTTCACCGCCAACATTCCTTGTCCTCATGAAATCGTGCCCGAGTCTTGGCAGCAACACCGCAGACAATGTGTGTCCTTACCCCGATGCGGCACTATTTTGCTTGTTCCATCCGTGGGGCGAACGACGCCCCTTTCTTTGGCGTTGTGCGCGCTGGTACTGATTGTTGCTCGGATTGAAAGAGACCTCGAGAATTTCTGTTGACACAGAGACAGGCTGGTTACTGCTCACGCTAGATAGATAGATAGATAGATAGATAGATAGATAGATAGATAGATAGATAGATAGATAGATAGATAGATAGATAGATAGATAGATAGATAGATAGATAGATAGATAGATAGATAGATAGATAGATACTAGAAAGGTATCATCGCGTTCATGCACGGCTCGTCTCACCCATCGAACGCTCAATGCAGGTCCGTATGTGCACGACGTGTTCAAAAGCGATGCAAGCGCCAACGATCGTCTCGGCTTGCTTCATCCATAGAATCCCCTTGTCCTGGGCCACGACGCACGAGCTATCGGGGTCTCGACGAGTCAAGACGTGCATCTGGAACGACGGGAGAGCGACAAGGTAGTCCTTGAGCTGTCGTCATCTGCCGACCAGGCCGAGGCGGCAACCCCGACGTCGTCGCCCATCGCGGCGTTCGGTTGGATGCTGTACGGCGAACGACGAAGGGCGTTGTCACTGCATCGCGCGTCGTAGGCACCGCGTCTCTTCGTATCACCACGTTCACGCCCACGACTCTCGGCGACGGAGGTGGTCCCACGAGTTTCTTTGTTGCAAACGGCGGCAAGGCGCCGAGACGCTTCCAACAACGTGGACGACGCGAGGTTGAAGTCGTTGAAGTGCGTCAGAAGCGTGCGGTTCAGAATGCGGGAAAGCGCAGTTGCGCTGATCTTGTCGGCGGTGAATCTGACCGGGAATCTGTTTCTCTTGCGCGTAGACGCTAGGCTTTGGGACCGTTGACAATTGTACGGCAACACTTAGAGCAAGTCCGCGACAAAGGCCGACCGACCAGGCTTGCCAGTTGCGCTCCATGCATCGACACGACGCACCCTCTTTCTGTCTTTAGCGTCTGCAAGTAGCTTCAACCCGGGCGGCGTCGCCTGTCGCGATGCAGGCCACGCTGAAGGCGCGCACGGTCCTGGATGCAGCCTGCCCTGCACAACATTGTACTCTGGCTCGGCGGTGGAAAGCTAGTCGGAACGATAAACGGCAAACAACAACTGCACAGCTACCACACCAAATTGATGGGGTCGTCTCTCATACACTGTACTAGCTGTAGAGTCGTCATCCACGCGAGCACGATCAGGCGAACGGCTGATGCGCATCTGAGATCACACACCGTGGCACGTACTTGCTATATCCCCACATCCCATCGCTGCCTTTCTGAACCATGGAGGTCTTGACCAATCAAAAACGCCGAGTGCGATGAGGCCCACCAATCATCGCGCGTCGCCGACCCAAGTCCACGTTTCGGTGCTGCTGCCTTGCAAGATTGCTCGGCCGATGATGCAAGCCCAGACACACTACACAAGGACGAGGCCGTTCGCCAGTTGACGCTACGGCGCGAGCTGCACACAGCTATGTACTACATCCCGCGGCTGCGTCGATGTCGTGTCCCAGTGCATCCATGCACGCATCGGCCCCGTTACCTCCCACAGTACTCGGCGGGACGACTTCTTGGATGGGCCGTGTACCTACTTGGATGTGTTCTACACTAATTGCTGTTGTTGGGGAATTGGATCGATTTCGATATACTGCACACTCGACAGTGTTTGGTGGTGGACCCTCGCCTCGACGCGTGTTGCGCTGGCGGATGCGATGCAGACCAAAACGATGCAGTCATGCTACACGACTGCATCGTTTTGGCCTGTATATTTGATGCATCAAGTATGGCGGTCATGCTCACACTATTTCGATGGGATTGATGTGTGCCTGGAATACCGGACCCCTGTGAGTCACAGTTCTCACCTTGGTTTGCCACCGGCTTGTGTGCTCAGCAACACATGTCACGCAGCATAAATGCGCCTGATGGCCTCACTTTGCCTTTTCGTCCGAACCGAATACGGTACTACGCGGTCATCATGCTGCTGCGATACGTCGTGGGCGTCTTGCTCGGTCTCACCGGGATCGTCGACGCGGCCAACTACCGCATCTACACGTCAACGAACCGCGTTCTGGCCGAGTCCAACGGCAACATTGTCGTCGCGACGCCGTCGGCGACCAATGCGATCAACGAAATCTTCGACTACACCGAAGGCAGCGGCAAGCTCATGGCGCAGAGCACATCCAAGTGTCTCGGCGGGCAGCTGGAGCCGATGGTGCTCCAAGATGCCGCCTACAACGTGCACATGAAGCTCCGCCTCGGTCTCTGGTTCTGCATTGGCGACAGCGTCAACCTTCCTTGGCAATACGACGCAAGCAGTCGCCAGTTCAAGCACGAGTACTACAACGGGTGGTGCCTCGATGCGGTCACGAGTCCGATTTCCATCTACCTCTGCGACGCATCAAGCGCGACGCAGCGGTTCCGGCTCGTCGCGGCGCAGACACCGCCACCGACGCCGCGCCCCAAGCGGCCCACGCCTCGGACGCTGCGGATTCTCGACCATCGTCGGCGACTCGAGAGCGACAACCCGCCGGGGTTTCGTCTCGCGGATCCGTCCGAGAAGCTCCTTCCGATGCGCATTACGCTTCAAAGCAAAGGCGTGCTCCAGCTCGTGGGCACCGAGCTCTATGTGCTCGAGACGCCGCGCAATGGCACCGACGAGTGGTTCGAGTACAATGCCAACCAGCAGACGCTGCGGTCGCTTGCGCCCGAGATGAACTCGACTTGTTTGACCTTGCATCCGAGCAACCGCCTCTACTTTAGCACGTGCTGCGCGCCCGAGATGTGCCAGAGCCAGCAGTTTGTGTTTTACAAGAACCGACTCCGCCACCCGACGTCGTTCTGTGTCGCGCGCAACCTGTACAAGCCCGACGCGGGAAGGCCCATGGCCGGTATCTGGTGCAATGACGACCGCGACAACGACCAGTGGCTCGCGGTCCTCAAGGAAGACGCACACGACAATAGCACCCGCCGCCGCCTCGACGCATTCGACACGCGCATTCGCGCGGCGAGTGGCAAGCTCATCTCCGAGTGGACGACCGGCCTCTACGTCAACTGGGCCGTCAACAACAAGAACGAGTGGTTCACGTACAACGAAGGCGGCCACACGTTCCAGGCGCAGAGCAATCGCCAGTGCATCGACGCGTTTTGGAGCTCGGATCCAAGCGTCAAATGGTGGGTCCTCAAGATTCACACGTACGACTGCGGGTATGGCAACCCGAATCAAGAGTGGTCGGCCGAATTCAACCACATCAAGCACCTCAACCACGCGGGCATGTGCATGGAGGCCAGGAACGACGGCACGCTCGGCGTCAACTCGTGCAAATTCGGCTTTACACCGGGCGAGTGGCTCGAGCTCTACCGGTAATAGGGAGCGGTGATTTTTATAAAGTAATGACTATGGATTGATTAAGACTGTACATGGATGCATCATGGTGTGTGTACGCGTCATTTTTCGAACAATTTTATGACTGCGGTTCGGGGGTAGTCCGATCGAACGACAGTGACGGCGTATACATGACTCCGATCCTCGTTGCACCCACAGTACACGATGCTTGGCAGACGGGACCAGAGTGCCACGTCGGCTGCAGATCAGGACGCACGCCATGGTTCGAACGGCGGTAATCGGCAACGTGTTCGCGGTAAACGTCCGTTGGAGTGCGTTTTACACCTTTAACGTCCTGTTGATGGATTTAAACGCGTTGGACGCCATGTGGTCGGAGCGAGTAATACACCAACCCTAAAATTCCGTCCGAACTGGTTCCCACCGGCCTCTGTGCGAATCGAGCGCGCCATAGGGATGGAGTTGATGTGTCCCTTGCATGCCATCCTCCCACAAATGCAGTCGTCTCAGTGTTCAAGATGCAACGGCTCGGTCGCATCCTCGTCGTCGTCCTTGCCTCAGTGGCCGCGATCCCGACGGGAACGTACCGCATTCTCACCTTTGACCACTTGGCCGTGGCCGAGATCAACGGCCACTTGGTGCCAACGCCATTGAACACGAGCGCACGCAACGAGCTCTTTAGCTACACGAATTTTTCCGGCGTCTTTTACTCAGCGAGCGCGGTGCAGTGCGTCGGCGCGTTCTTGCATCCGATGGTGCTTCAAGGCGGCGCCGCCTACAACGTTCACATGAAGCTCCGCCTCGGTCTCTGGCGCTGTCTTGGGTCTAGCATCAACCTGCCCTGGCGGTACGACGAGGCGTCGATGCAAATTGCACACCGGTACTACCGCGGGTGGTGCTGGGACGCCAGCACGAGCCCGATTGCGGTCTACTTGTGCGACCCGAGCAGCGAAAGCCAGCGCTTTCGGCTCGTCCCGCCGACAGACGCCAGCCCGACACCGCGGCCGCCGCGGCGGCGTCTTTTGTTTGAGCCGCGAGACGCGATCGGGCACCGCCGCTGGCTCGAGAGCGACAACCCCGAGGGCTTTGTCCTGGAAGACGAGACGCTCAAGCTGCAGCCGATGCGACTGACGATGCCCGACCGCGGGGTCATTCGGCAAGTGAACGACCGCGTCTACCTCGAGGCAACGCCCCGCAATGGCTCGGACGAGTGGTTCGAGTACAATGCAAACCACCAGACGCTGCGGTCGATGGGCCGGAACGACTCGTGCTTGGCGATTACGCCCAACAACCAGCTTGTCTTGACGCCGTGCTGCGCGCCGGTGGGCTGCTACCAGCAAAACTTTGTCGTGTACAAGAATCGGATCCGACACCCGTCGTCGTTCTGCGTCGCGCTCAACCCAATCAAGCCGGCGACCAACCCGCTCCTCGGGCAATGGTGCAACGACCTCCGGGATCACGTTCAGTTTTTCGCCGTCTACAAGGAGCCTGCGCCCGACCACCGGCGACTGGACAGTGCAGAGACGCGGATCACAGCTAGAAACGGCCACGTTGTGTCCGAGTGGAGCACTGGCTTGTATGTGAATGGTGCGGTCAACAACAAGAACGAGTGGTTCACCTACAACGAAGGCGGTCACACGTTCCAAGTCCAGAGCAACCGCCAGTGCATCGACGCGTTTTGGAGCTCCGACCCAAGCGTGAAATGGTGGGTCCTCAAGCTGCACACGTTCGACTGCGGGTATGGCAACCGCAACCAAGAGTGGGCACCGACGCACAACCGCGTCAAACATCTCAACCACGCCGGCATCTGCCTCGAGGCCCGTGGCGACAAGACCCTCGGTGTCAACACGTGCAAGGAAGAGAGAGACTCCGAGTGGCTGCAGCTGTGGCACTGAGTACAAGGCTCAACGAACGTCCTGTCGGCGTCATTATTCAAGTCAATATCGATTGCTGTTTTGTCCTTGGACAGCGAGAGGCAGCCAAGGTAACGCGCACGGCAAGAGGTTGATACTATCGAACTCTGCCATTTAACAATAATACACTGGGTGGACGTGATCACCGCGTCGACTCTTGAGCGCTGGTGCAGGAAGGGATAGGGCTGTGACACCCAACGGCGCGTTGTGTGCACCTACTAGCTGTCGCCCGCCCTTGGCAGCACCATTAAGATCATTTTTGAGATTGCAACGCGTGTGGTGTTGCTGCTGCGCGACCATGGGCATGTCGCTGCCGGCCCATGCTGCAAGGCACGTTGTCGCGTGTATTTAGCCATTTCCACAACACAACGTATGAAAACACACAACTCGAGCTCGCATGGTCATCCGGATACCAGAAACCTGAACGCAAGCACACGATGTAGGCGGCCGGCCGGCGGCGAGGGCTGACCGCATGCATAGGTCTGGGAAGGTGACCTTCAAGATCACGCTCACGTCGGACCCAAAGCTGCCGTTCCGCATGTACGTATGCTCCTGCCTACTCCTGCCATGGTGACCGTCCTGCATTAGCGTCAGCGTGCCCGAGGAAGCGCCGTTCACGGCCGTCCTCAAGTACGTCGCCGAAGAGTTCCGCGTGCCCGCAGCCACGAGTGCCATCATCACCAACGGTGCTACTACCGCGTGCTTGCGCTCGCATCCACGATGCTGTATCTAGATGGCATTGGCATCAACCCGTCGCAGACGGCTGGCAACGTCTTTCTCAAGCATGGCACCGAGCTGCGCTTGATTCCGCGCGACCGCGTCGGCTAGCCTGTCGCTCGTACATCGTGGTGGCCTCTTGTTTTGATGTCTGTGTGCATTTTTCAAACGGCATATATCTCACGACACAAGAAGACATGCTTTGGTTCGTTTACAAGCCCTTGTTGTAAAAGGCGTGGGCCGTGCGCGGGTACTTGGCGTCGATGATGGCCTGGAGCTCGGGCTCGAGGTCGCTTTTGGCAACCGCACTCTTTTGCGGGAAGAGCGCGCAGCAGAGCGGCGTCGAGAACGAGAGGCAGAGACCCGTGAGGAGCACCATGATGGGCGCCGCAAGCATCGGCGACCGCTTCAGGAGCGTGCCCTGCTCGAGCTTGGCCATGACGAGCGGCGGGAAGAGCATGCCGGGCACGGCCATGAGGATGCGCGACGGCACGACCTGGAGCACGGCATTCTGGGCCGCGACCTTGCTCTTGCCAATGAGTTCGCCCTCTAATCGACATGGCATGAGCCATTCTCGTTGCAATGGACTGTGTCAACGCACCAGCAGTCTCGACGTCAATGCCGTCGACGAGCTCGCGCTGGCGCATGAGCGGGATGTTGACCCAGTTGGCGGCTGCGACGGCCATGAGCGGCACGAAGCGACCGATGAGACCGCCTACACCATATGATAATGAGATGCAAGCAAGGATGCCGCATTGGGTTCAAGTATTTAGTACCACTGAGGCTCGGGCGGCTCGCAATAAACTTGTTCATGCCGACAGCAGTCGCGACCGACATGGTCGACGCAGCAATGTACGCTTGGCCAAGCTGCTCGGTCGTGACGCCCGTGCTCGCGTTGCGGTTGGTGTAGTTGACGATCGAGTTGAACGTTTGGTTCATAAACTATAGTCCCCTCGTTGAGAGGCAAGAAGGCATTGGCGATGCTTGTACCTGCCAAAAGATGACGGCCGGCGTCGACCGGTAGAACGTCATCATGCAGCCCGTGATGGCCATGTTGCCAGGCACCTGGAACGCCATGCGACCTACGGCTTTCTCACGCGTTGCCCAAAGCAGCGTGGTCGGGTACCCAAGATAAAGTTCTTCTCGCCCGTGTCGGGGTGGAAGGCCGAGTCGTAGAGGTGCTTGGCGGCCCAGACATCTTCGTCCTTGATACCTGCCGGCTCACGGCCCGCCCTAGTCGTCGGTCCCGTCAGCCATCGAGTACATGGAATGTGCCATCCTACTTGTACTGCTCGACGAGCGCCTTGGCCGCGTCGAGGTCGGCGTCGGACGCGAGCACGTTGAGCGGGTTGGTCGTCGTCAGAAAATGCTTCGCACGGCCTTCGAACGTGCTCTGGTCCCAGCGGGGCTCATCGAGGTTGAGGCGAGCCGCCATGTTGCCCTTTGCTCGTCAAATAAGATTTGATAGACCTAAGTTCTGTGGTGTAGCAATGGCGCAAAATCATTTTCCATTGCATTTTATTTCGTCGTCGTCCCAATCCATACAAACCTCCAGTTGCATTATACATCACGTAAAAAATGCATTCCAAATACAATACCGCGACAGGGGAAATTAACCAGGTGCATGGGTGCGGCGGCAACTTGGTGGCGCCAGTCAAATGCAAACCCTCGCTCTCCTTCCCATGATTGCTCGACGCGCGCGCCACCTCTGTGATTGCGCAGTCGAGAGTCGACGTATCCTACCGGAGCTTCCTGCAGGAACCAAGCGGATTGCAATCTTGTCGCCGCGGAGGATTTGCGTGGACCGCCTCGGAACGCTCGCACCATTGTTTTTACGCAGACGAAAGGACGTGCAGACGACGCGTGCTCGACGTGTTGACGGCACCACGGGTCTGCGTCGCTACTATGGGCCAAGGACCTCTCTCGACATATACAGGACGTGTGTGCTCTGTCGACAACAGCAGGACGAGCCTTGTGGACGCGACTGTGCAGTGAGAGAAATGGGCCAAGGCGACGGCGTCGATACGGTGGCTACTACGCGCATGCGAGGAGGCCGGTATCGATCGACGATGCCAGCATCTCCGCCTCGCACGATGTCGACGACGCGGTTGCCGTCTTGTTTCTGTGCGCGATCCAGAAACAAGAGGATCCGGATAGCGTTGGAGGCCGGAGCTCTCGCGGAGTCACAAAGCTCGTCGTGGAAGAAGCCAAAGTCATTTCGAGGATGGCCGCTTTGCTGCCTGCACGTAGTACATGGACATGTACGAGTGTTTGCATCGCGCCTCACACGATCGCGACACGAGCACCAAGAATCCCAACGACTCGAAAGAAATCCATGTCGTTGCACGTCCAGCCAGAATAGACAAATCGCATTCCAATCCATGGTCGATTGCAGTGTCTTGGCGCCGAGAACGAGCGTGGGTGCTACGACACTGTATGAACGCGGCGCCTTGGCGCGACGGTGGTTCTTGGCAGTCCAAGCGGCCGACGGCTGCACGCCTCGTTACCGAGCTCCACGCGCTCTCCAACACATGCATGCAGTATGATAGAGTACATGTACCTCGCATGGGCGGGAGGATGAGGATGATGCCCATCTCAATGCATCTCAACGAGAGCTCTCACCGCATCTCCACGCATCCTAGTGGCAACGCGTGCTTCTAGGTCGACTGGCATCGGAGCCCCATTTTCAGAGATCGTGTCGATACATGCGGTATGAAGGACCCGCAAGTGCACAATGACAGCAAGAAGCGAGACCATCCCAATGGCACGTGTAAGAGATGCCCCGATGCCTTTCTTCCGATGCAGTGATACGGTTGCGGCCACTGGGGACCTGCGCCTCGTCCGAGCCGCCACGTTCTGAGTGGCTGCCACCTTCACCACGTAGCATATGTAGGTGCGCTGGTACCAGCAGCGTCGGCGTAGGACCGGTTCCGCGCCGGCGACCACGCCGACTGTGAGGTTTGGGAAAAGACAGGCGGTGTGTCCGGATACGCGGCGCGTATTGTTCGGATACGATGACGGTATCCGGATTGCCTCGCTTTAGGTTGTGTGAGGTTGTTTCGCGGCCAATAACCTTTGACGAGCCACGGACGACCAGTGGTAAGCATGGGCGGGGACCTCCAGGACGCCGAGGCCCTCGGGCAGAGCTTCAAGGTGCTCGAGCAGGCCCACGCCGGCGACTGCAAGAGCCCGGACCTCGCGGACCAGGTGGCCAACCACTCGGAGCCGACCGCGCACAACTACTTTTTCGAGCCGTACACGGCCGGCGCGTGGTCGCCGCAGCTCGTGCACAAGCAGAAGATCCTAGCATACCCGAGCGCGATCGCGTCGGCGTACGACAAGATGGTCTCGAGCTCCTTCTCGGGCCTTTTGCAGGAGCTCCACCACGCGTGGGTCTCGGTCGACAATACGCTCTTTCTCTGGGACTATACGGCCGATGGCAAGCGCGTCGTGGTCTTTGAAGGCATGGAGCAGGTCATTTGCGCTGTGGGCATCGCGCCGCCGCTGCCAGGCGTCTTCAAGCCGTTTGTCAAGCACGTCTTGGTCGTTGCGACGGCGAGCGAGATGCGCCTCCTCGTGGTCTTGCACGACGCCGACGGCGGGCTGCGCTTGAGCGCGACCAAGCTGAGCATCTCGACCGACGACTGCATCGTGCGCAAGATCGTCTCGACATGCGATGGCCGCATCTTCTTTGGCGGCTCGGACGGCCAGCTCCACGAGTTCGTCTACGACACGGACGAAGGCATGTTGCACCAGCTCGGCTGGAAGCGCAAGTGCCGGAAAGAGTCGCACGCGCAGTCGCTCTCGCAGTACCTCCCGAGCTTCTTCCGGACGTTCACGAACGCGTCCGACGCCATCGGCAAGGTCGTCGACATGCGCATCGACCACGAGCGCCGGATTCTGTACTTGGTCCAAGAACCCGCCTTTGTCAGCGTCTACGATCTCGGCACCGAGGCAGGGGCAGAGGTCGCGCTCATTGCGTCCAAGAACCTCGAGACCGAGGCCGGCCGCTTTTGCCAGCGCAACCAGCGCAACCTCACGTCGTGCCCCGAGCCGCGGCTGTTTGCGACAACGTCGGTGTCGCTCACCGCGCTCTCAGTCGTCGCGCGCGACGAGTCGGCCAGCATCCACGCGATCGCGGTGAGTGCCACGGGCATCCGCTTCTACCTCTCGACGTTTTCGCCGAGCTTTCTTTCGTCGGCGCTCAAGCGTCCAACGTCGCTGGACCTTGTGCACATTCGCCTCCCACCACCGACGACCGTGCTCGCCGACGCACCCGAGTACCACCGCACCGAAGGCCTCTCGCCGGCGCTGCTCCCGGGCAAGAGTCCGGCCCACGTGCACGCGGCGTACTATCGGCACGGCGTCTTTCTCGCCATCAACGGCGGGCCGGATGCGTACGACCAAGTCCTTGGCCTCACGAGAGATCTCACGGCGCGCCACGCGCATGACGCGAACGCGTCCATCAAGGTGCTCATGCGCGAGTCGATTGCGTGCGACTCGTGCCAAGGCAAGGTCAGCGCCGTCGAAGAATTCGTGCCCCAAGGCGGCTCCACCGCACCAAGTACGACCTCGACCAACCTCAATGGCAATGGCAAGCGGCCACACGCGTCCAGCCTTCTCGACGAGACGCCGCCCGTCATGCGGTCCGAGCTCGTGACGCAGGTGGTCGAGCCAATCCGGCACTTTCTCGTCTTGACGAACGCCGGGCTGCACATTTTCAAAAAAGTTCGACCGATCGACCAGCTCTTTCGTGTGCTGCATGCGACCAAGGACGTCAAGAAGCAACTGAGTCACTTCGTCAAGTGCTTTGGGGCGTCGGAAACGTGCGCGATGCTCTTTGCAATCGCGTGCGGCGCGCTCTCGTCCCAAGACACGCTCTGGACCGACAATATGGGCATGAAGAGCGACGACCACATTGTGTCGATGGCCATGCAAGCGATTTTCGACTTTGGCGGGGCGCCGAATGTCTCGAGCGGCGGCGTCCCGAGCTCGACCCACCGCTTTGTCATGACGGACGACGTTGGCTTCTCGGCGCACCACGACGGCCTCGTGCTCTTCGTCTCGCGCTTGCTGCGCCCGATGTGGCGATTTTCGCCCTCCCAGAACATTGCGCCGATCGAGCGCGTCCGCAACGTCCTCTTCCGACTCCAGCAAGTGCTCGAGACGCATTACCGGACGTCGCTGACGGCCGCAAGCGTCGCCGAGCCGTCGGCCGCGAACGCCCTCACGCGCGAGCTCACGGCGCGCGTTCAAGAAGCGACACCGGCCGTCGTGCGCCAGGAGAATGCGATGCGCGCCGAGCAGGCCTCGATCCGGTGCCTGTACCTCTTTACGACGCGGTCGATCCAGGCGCTGTCGCTCGTGCTCTTCGCGCCGACGCCGTCGTTGCCGCTGTCGCTGCCCGACCTCGTCACGACGTCGGAGGGCTTTGACGCGCTCAAGGCCCTCCTCTCGCGCCTCACGCAAGGCCAGAACGACGCGATGCTCGTCGCGTCGCTCCAGAAGCAGTGCCCGCTCTTCTTTAAAGACACGGACGCCGCCGCGTGCCACGGGTACCAGCAGCTCGAGGCGGCCGCGAGCTGCGCGACGGTCGAGGATCGCACTTCGTGCCTCCAGCGCTCGCTGCAGCATTTCAAGCTCGCGGCCAAGAGCTGGAAGACGCTGACACACGTGCTCGACCTCGAAGCGATCTGCGCGTCGTACTTTACGCTCGGCTTTCTCGATGGCATTGTCGACTTGGCGTTTGCGACGGCGCCGCATTTTGGCACGGACGACGACGCGCGCCGCATCTGCTACGGCTACACGATCCAGTGCGTTCAATTTTTTGCCTCCAAGACGACGACGACGACGAAAACAACGACCAACGACGACGACGATATCGGCCGCGTCTGTGCGAATGCGCCGACCGAGTGGCTGCCGTTGACGGCACGGGAAGCGTGCTTGACGTATTTGCTCGAGAAGCTCTTGTCGGTGCAGGATACGTACTACCACTCGGTGCTCTACATGTGGCTGTATGCCAACGACGAGCGCCAGCGCTTGATTGCGCTGCGTGGCGCGAAACACATGCTGTCGGTCGAAGCGTTCCTGAAAGCCAAGGACGAAGACCTCCTCGTGCAAATGTATTTGGTGCAGAACCGGTATGTGGACGCCGCGCACGTGCTCTGGACCCGCGCGACGTCGACGTCGGACCGCCGCCCGATCGGTGACCGGATCGAGCTCATTTCGCGCGCCAAGAGCATCCTTGCGGCCGCCAACGACCCGACGGCCACGAGCGCGCTCCAAGAAGTCACCGAAACACTACACGTGCTGCAGCTGCAACGTCACATTTGGACGACGTTGCAGTCGTCGGTACCGGCCGCCGACCTCGAGGTATCATCCCAGCGGCGGCATGCGCCGTGATTCATGTATATCGGACTAGGCGCTGGCGACGACGATCGTGGCCGTCTCGCCGTTGTACAACCAGTTTGCGGCCAAGTACAAGCTCTGGCCAGAGTGCCTGCGCATTCTCTGCACGTGCCACTCGGAGGTGGGTGTTTTTCTTTTCATGTCGATTTTCACGCATCTTCTTTCAATGCGTAGGACATGGCGACGATCGAGACGCTGTGGAAGCGGCTCTTGTACTCGCTCATCCCGACGTCGGTCGGAAACGAGACGTTCAACAAGTGGCTCTCGGCGACGTGCGACGCGCTCGACATTGTGCCCAAGACGTCGGAGCACCTCGAACATGCCTCGTGGATGAGCCACGTCCAGGCCCAACTCCTGAGCCTCAAGGAGCTCTATCCCTCCAAGGCGTTTCCGGTCGAGCTCCTTCTCCACGAAATTGAGCACGCGTGGATGTGGTACCGTCAAGTGACGGGCGTTGCGACCGCGCGGCCGTGGATCGCAGGCCTCTTTCTCGACGCGGGCGTCCCGTACGCGGTGCTCTTTGGTGCATACATGAGCTTGTATCAACACCCGTCGCCGTCCCCATGGCGCCTCCACGTGCTCGAGAGCCTCTACCAGCTCGTCGTGAGCTGGCTCAGCGTCATTCGCGGCGTGGCCCCCCGCGACCTCCAGCTCGAGTTTGCGACCGCGACGCCCGTGCTCACGAGCGCGTGCGAAGACATTGTCGTCGACCTCCAAGGCCTCCTGCGCGGTACGCTCGTATTGTATCAATGTTTCAAGTCGGCTAAGTGGGAGATTTGTGTAGAAAACGACCCGAAAAAAGCCGAGCTCGTCGGGTTGTTTCGACGACTGAAACTGGACATTTCCACGACCAAGTCGACGTATGCATAAATCTAATCCCAACGCTCTGAATTGCCTCAACATGCATCGTCGCTTCCGCCGTAGCCCAAGTACGGCCTTGCTTGGGTGGCTCTGGTTAGGGTCTTGGTTGCGCGTTACTCCGAGTATGGTTGGTGCTGGTGACAGCTTGGATCAACTTGTTGCTGACAGAAAGCATCCAGCGCGCCCTTGTGCACTGCAAGTGATGTCGCACTGCCACGTCAGGATCTGTTTTCGACTGCGATCCAATAGCCAATCCGAAGCCTGTGTAGAAATCGAACGACCAATCATAAGTGGGTATGACGCGGTCAGATTGCACTTTCTATCGCGTTTGCCATCAATCCAGGTCAACGAGCCAGCTCCACGCCACGACAATACCCAAGGACTCGCGCCCACAATTCTGCAAAGTGAGCTTGCACAGCAAAATCGTTTTGATGACCGCTACACAAGGTCCATGCTCCCATTCATTCGTCAGCGCATCGTTCCCATGCCCACGACTAAAACGTACAATACGAGTAGATTCACGTCGACAATATACATTTGGATTTCGTCTGGGACGAGACTAGCTTAGGCGCGCATTTGCGTGAACGACTCGCGCGCGTTCATGAGGTTGGACGACCGGTCGATGAGCGCGTCCTTCTCGTTCACTTCGTCTTCGTGGACGATGCGCGAGCTGTCCATGCCAAACTGCATCTTGCGCATGACGATAATGTAGAAGAAGAGGTTGATGGCCGAGACAGCGCCAACGGCGAAGAACATGTTCTCGAGCTTGCCGTCGTTGAGGTTGTTGGGAATGTCGTCTTGGAAGAGGAGCGTAAAGATGGATGTGACGTTCGAGCCCATCGAGACCATAAAGAGGTTGATGGCCTGGCACGTCGACTTGAGGTAGATCGGGACTTCCGAGTAAAAGACATCGTACGCCGTCACGTTGATGAGGCACTCGCAGAGCGCGACGAGCACGTACTGGGGAATGTCCAGCCCCACAGGATCTTGTTCATGGGCTCCTCGCCGGCCTTGTTGATGACCGGGAACGAGCCGTCCGGGTACGTCGAGTTGCCGAGCATGATGACACCCGAGTCCTTGCGCATGATCTCAAACCCGCCGACGTAAAACATCGTGGCCGTCGAGATGATGAGACCCACGAGCACCTTGCCAAAGGGCGACGCCGCCTTGCCAAAGTACTTTTTATACGCCGGGTAGATGACGGCGTCGAGGAGCGGGATCAAAATCACAATCGCGATCGGGTCAAAGACACCGAGGACCGCACCCGAGAGCTGCGTCGCGTCCCACTCGTCGCCAAAACGAAGGTCGGTCTGCTGCGCGATCGACTGAAAGTTGGCGTCGATCTGGTCGTAGACGCACTGCCACATGACCATGAACGACGCGAACGGGAGGACGCGGACGACCATTTTGATCTCGTCGATCGACTGGTCGTCGACGGGCCCACCGAGCGAGCGCTTGGCGGCGTTGACGTTTTCATAATTGATGCCCGAGAGCACCCACGTGACGCAGCCGAGGACAGCCAGGGCACCCGCGACATACGTCAGGCCCTTGCGCTCCGAGGACCCGTCCTCCAGGAAGACCGCAATCAAGTTGAGCACGAACGAGAGAATGAGGATGACAAAGCCGCCGCACGCACCCTTGGCCGACCAGCTCTTGGCCGACGACCGCACGAGCACCTTGACGAGCTTGGACATGGCGTCCGAGTTGGGCGGCAGCTTGATGTAGCGCGGCGACCCGAGGAAGAAGAAGAGCAGCGCGACGGCCATCACACACGCGCAGATGAGGAACGTCGCAAAGTACCCATAGTCTTCCGAGATGGACGCCGAGCCTTCGACGCACAAGGTCGCGAGGTAGCCGTACGAGAAGGCGGCGCCAAAGTTGACGCACCAGTAAAAGTACGAAAAGAACGTGATCTTCTGGGCCTCTTCCTTCGGGTCGTCCGGGTTGAACTGGTCGGCGCCGAGCGTAATGACGTTCGACTTGATCGCGCCAGTGCCAATGCCAATGCACGCAAAGAGGGCAAACACGAAGAGGCCTTGGGCCGCGTCAATGTTGGCGCCTTCCTTGTCAAACACGCCGGAGACGTTGGTCTCCTTCCAGCCGAGCACGTGCGGGTGCGCGGCGACGGCCATGAGGATGTCGCCAAGAAGGTACCATGTGCCAAAGATCGCAATCGTCTTGAAGCGGCCCCAGCGCTCGTCGGCGAGGTACGCACCAAGGAGCGGCGAGAGATAGCAGAGCGACGTCCACGTACTCTTGATCGAGTTGGACGAGACGCCCGTCCAGTGCAAGTGGGACTTCATGAGTTTTTCAAGCCTTGGTTGATGCCATAGTACGAGAGGCGCTCCGAGACTTCCATGAGGAGGATGAAGCCGCACACTTGGAAGAGGACGCTCTTGTACTCTTTGCGGTTGTCCCACAAAGAGACGTGGGCGCTAGACGGGCTCTGGATCGCTGCATAGCCGGCCATGGCGCAAATGCTGGAATGAGAATCGTGTGCACGATCCAACGGTTTGAAGAGGCGGCCCGCGGTACGAACGCAGCTGGTGCGCAGAAGACACTCGCTTCCTCGGACGATCTGAGATTAGAAATCCATGCAAGGCCCAGAGACAATCAAACTCGCTATACCAGATGATGATGATGTTGTTCGTCGTTGTTGGCAATCCCTATGGCACTACTGTTTTGGCGCCATGACGTGGCAAGCCCCGGCGCGACTCAAACGCGCCCGGCGCAGTGTATCGAAGACAAATGGAAAAGTTTAGAAAACCAGCCCGGAAAATCGACCTTTGCAGAGAGCACGCACGACCGTGCTCCAGTTGACGAGAGAAATAGACCCTTGTCGCATCGAAAAGCAATGGTGTGTGGTCCCACCAAAAGACATGAAGAAAGGGAGAAACGGCGTGTGCAAGCTTCCTTGCGCGAGGCAGGATCGAACATTCCTTGCGAGAACGAGAGAAAATGTCTCCGCAGCCATGAGACGCGAGAAGAATACATTTCGTCGCCGATTCTGCGTTTTTCCAGCCGTTCCGCAAGCGAAACCAACCGACGAGTGGCCGCGTCCTCCGAGGCGCGGCCGTCGGTCATCCAGGCCGCGGCAGAAAGAGGCCTCGTCAGTCGACGCCTTCGCCTGCTGCGAGCCGCGCCATCAGACCAAGCGACGCTGAGCGATGAGGAACTCATCGCCACGCTGCACAAGACGACGTATCCGAGGAAGACGAAGACATGCTCC